AAATTCACGGAGATGAAAGATGACCCGAAGGGTAACACTTTCCAATAATATTATTGGTTAAGTCTGCGTGGTGTCTGAATAACAGGGCAAAAAAATTTTTTTCGTAAAAAATTTCATTTTTTTGAAAATTTTGGCCCGTTTGACCTTGAAATAAAGGTCAAAGGTCAAATCCAAGGGCATATTTGAAATCTACACATATGACTTTTGGAAAGCTGTCTGTAGAAAATTTTCCCAAAACTCCTTCCGTAGGGTAGATAATTAGCATTTAATTTTGCCATTTTTAGACAAGGGTGCATTGCAATGAGTGCCACACCTAGACCCCAATACAGACAAAGCCCAAATTTTACGTGGAATGAGTTGAGATTATAGGTGACCTAAATCCAAGAGATGGGTACAGGGGCCCTTACCGTCTAGGAGGAGAAGCGGTAACGGTGACTTGGCGGCGGAGCCGCAGGAGCCGGCGGAGCTGCAGGAGCCGGCGGAGCCGCAGGAGCCGCAGGAGCCGGCGGAACATACGGGTCGGGACTAAAACCATGGGTACCGCCAGCGCCTACGCTGGTGGTACAATAAACTGATACAACTACATTTCAGACTTGAAGGAAAAGGAAAAGAACTAACAAACAAAACATATTTTCCCAGTCTTCTTACATGCAACATGCAGCATTGTGTCAGACAAGAACATGGCCTTGAATCACTTAAGGATCTTAGTCAAGACAAAAACAAATTACTATAAAAATTTTAGTTGCAGTATTGAACAGTCATACCTAAAACTGAACTGTGGTCATCCAAATATCTTTTTCTTAATTTTCCCTAGAAATGAGTCATCAATATCACTGTCAGGGTGCACGTCCCCCTTCACACTGTCTTCACCACCCGGACCTGTAATGATAACCGGGGCGTGGTCAGTGTGGAGAGTCATATACTCGACCAAACCAGTTCAGTAACATGAAATTGTTTTTCAATAATTAAAAGACTATGTAATGTAGTGGGAAAATCTTCAGTGTATATAAAAAAGTAACGAATGGTGGGTGCATTATACATCAATATTTGGTTGAAATATTTAACTAAGATCATATAGTTAATATTTTATTATTATCATTATTATTATTATTATCATTATGCTAAAAACAAAGTTTCAAACTTTTTGGGGTGAGTGTATATAGAGGCATAATTCCATTACAGTCTGCAAATTCCTTTTAGCCAAATGGTCACTCACACAAGCAGACCCCAGAAAACATGAACCTTAAACAACCCCATAAGTTCGCACTCATCAGATTGGACTAAATTCTTTAAAACTTTAAAGTCTTTATTGGTCTTTTACCAGTTGCAACAGACCAGTGTCTAATGTCACAGACTGACAATGACCACATTCAGAACAAGTTGATCCAGGGACTAACTGATCCTCAGATCTAATATGGCCAACCCACTTAAAAGCAATGCTGACTAAATCCTCTGATGGCCTCCCCGTCTCCACTCGAGCTGTCCTTGCAGGGACCCAGCAATTTAACATTAGAGCCAGGATTGAATCTGTTTAATGGCCCATGTGGGGGCAGGGAGGCCTTCTTGCTATTTAGTGGGGTAGGCTATATTTCCTCTGTGGATCAGGAAGTCTGCAGATCATCTGTTCTGAATGCTCTCAATGTTTATTTCAATGGATTTTAATGATCAACAAATATGAAGAATCTGCCATGTAATTGTCTGGTAGAACAATGCCACATGTTATTCAATGCTGTCTTTTCTTGCGTATAACATGCTACTTATATTGATTTTCCTTGAAATTATACATATTGTAACTGTATAATCAATAGATAATCAAGGGTCACAAAGAGAAAAAAAGAGAGAGGGAAAGAGAGCAACACAGGGGATGGGAGAAAAAAGAAAGCAGAGAACTCATAGAAAGTGAAAAAAAAAAAAAGTAAAGTGCCATATTAAATTTTCAGTATACTTCTGTGCACGAGTGTCCTTATCAAGGTGAAGTAGAATGATCACTAAAAAAAAAGTAGAATCAATTAATAGGATGTCCCATTATCTTTCTGTTTACTGACCTTTTTTCGCATGTATTACTCCGTTAATTGTGCCATCACCAACATCCTCAGTTTCAGCAAAGGCTAACATTAGTGATTTCTGTTCTTCTGTCAGCTTTCTATAAAGAGGGAAAAGTAACTTTAAGTCAAAATCATGATGGTGTTTGTATCAACTTTTCAAATGTTTTCAAATGTACCAAATAGTGCTGAATACTTAAATACTACATTCAGAATATAAACCAACAACTACACTTCTATAATTCTCTATTATCACTAACAGTTTGTCATCATTTAAATTTGTATCCGTCAACACCTTTCAACATTTTTTAAAATTACAATTCACAAAGTATATGTGTGCTCTGTATAATCTTACTTTGCTGATACAAAAGTTACAATGCAAATAATCTTTCTGTTCTTCTGGTCATTATCACGATTGAATATTACTATTTAATTTGAAACATTTGGTAAACTTACGTAGGAACTTTAATCTTAATATGAACATAATGATCTCCATAGCCATAGGAATTTAGCCGACTAATTCCTTTGCCAGCTAAACGGATCTTGGTGTGGGAGGATGTTTTTTCAGGGATCTGAAAAACAAAACAATTCCATGAGCACACAAAAGTGCACTTTTCAAGATTGGAAGAAGAAAATATCCTTGATTAATCTCATCAAGAAAAATTCAACAGTTGTTAATAAACACAGGTAAAGATAACCCTTCCAAGTGCACATTTTTGCCAAGCTGTTTAAGGGAGGTGGTGGATTGGTATTAAGAAACTTTTACCTCTTCCCCTGTTTAAGAATAAGCCACTGCATTGCTCCCAGAATATAACACAGATAATAAAATTACATATTTTGGCAGTATGTGGAATGCTGTAAATATATGCCCCTGAAACTTACAGAGAGCAAAATGCTGTCGTAAATCCCTCTGATCCTCACGGTACCCCCAAGGACAGCTTGTGATAAACTTATCCATGTGTCTGAGTGGACATCAGCACCATCACGGCGAAATGTTTGACTCTTGGAGACCTGTGGAAAATTGATGTAAACATAATTACTTTTCAGAAAAAATGAAGAAATCAAAAATACTTTGACAAACTTTGCCTACAATGCATCTTTCATTTTCAGGGGGAAAGAAAAGCATGCATACTCTACATTAAAGCATAACTACTGTTTATCATATTTTTATAGTTACTTTGTGATATTGACTTATTCTATGTAAAAATAAAAAAAATTTTACCCTAAATGAGATAAATATTTCTTTTTGGCCAACTGGCATTCGTACTGTTTGTCCATCTTCTACGCCTGTGATAAAAGGGTAGAAAGTTTTTTAAGTATCACTTATAATAATAATAATAATAATAACATACTTTATTTAAAGAGGATAAAACATGTTAGGTGATTACACATATCTCATACATGGCCCTCTCAGGGGTTAGAATAAAATATTGTGTTAATGAATAAAAGATAAATAATTAAAATCATAATGAAGTAAAATTAAATCAACACCAGCAATATACAGTATATCAAGATACATCATACATCTAAGCATATCCATTAAAAACACTTAAGATAATAAAAATTTTAATTAAAACTGCTAAATTAAAAAAATGTTTAATTGTTCTTCTTTGAATATAATCAGTGTTTAAATATATACGTGACAGTCAAAAACAATATCAGATCTAACACGCATTACATTTATTGGGAAGCATGCATCTACTTAGCAACCACTCCAGTTAAAACCATAATAAATACAATCTCCATTTAGTATAACCTAGATGTTAGTGAACACCTTACCTGCAGGAACAGGTACTGTTACCTGCTTCCTCATGTTCACAGAACCTTTGCCATTGCATGCAGAACATGGCTTATCTATGACCATGCGCGTCCCACGACACGTCCTGCATGTTGAGCGCATCATAAAAGGACCGGTCGTGACGGTTTCCTGAAATGTAAAACAACTATTACTACTCAAAAACTGAATCAGATGGAGTCCTTGACAACCACTCATAAATTCAAAATGATGAGTAAACATAAATAAATTAGAAATAAGTATCCTCCCCTGGAAGTGAAAGTATCAACATCCAGTGTGTATCAGAGTCAAAAATGAACGGGCATAAAATGTAAACCACACTGAGATACATGGCGGAGTCCAATATACAAGAACTGAACTTCACTTTTGTGGCACTAATCATATCTTAACTTTAATATCAATGTATTTTCTTCAAATCATCTTTAAAACATCAAGAAGCAATAGAAAAGTTGCTCTTTCAAACCCACCATTCCTGTGCCGTTGCAGACATGGCAGCGCCGCGGACTTGACCCAGGTTCTGCCTTGGAACCATTACATGTGGAGCACACCTCCACTGTGTTCACGTTGATATCCTTGTTTACCCCACGGGCCGCTTCTTCAAATGTTAGGTTCATAGTGTACTAGAAAGGAAAAAAAACAAGGTTTACAATAGCAATAGAAATGTTCGAGTGGCAACTGGATGTTAGATGTCGAGTTGACAAACATGGCACATTAAGGTAAATGGGATGGAAGACACTCCTAGATGCAACTGAACTAAAATGTGCTTACCTCTTGGGCTGGCCTAAAGCCAAATGGCGATGACGTGAAATCCTGATAGTCATCAAAGCCTCCCATCTTGTAGCCCATATCTTCAAATATCTTTCTGAAAAGGTCTTCAGGGTCAACATTGGAGTGGTAACCCTCAAATCCTAGAGAGAAAGATATATTTGGACTTGAGGGTGCATGATGAAAACATATAAAGAATGTCTACAGAAATCTGTGCAGTGTGTTACAAGGAGGTATGTATGTAGTCTTTAAGGATAACTAAAACAATGAGTATTTCACAAAGGTAGTCAAACTGCCATTTTATTATTTGAAATTAAAACTTACAAATTATTCATCTTAGTCTAATTTTTGAAAATTTTCAAGATTGATTTTAGCAACAGAGCATCATGGTCTATAATTTCAGCCAATCTCAAAATAGTTGCCCCATGTTTTAGCTGGGACCCCAGTTACCTTGGAAACCATGTCAGTGCTCTGGCAAAACCCCTCCATCCTTTCCAGATGTAGTAAGTCCGTAACTTATCACTTACCTAGTCCAAGTACTGTTCGTTTCTCTCCTCAACCTCTCAAAACACTAATGCATCAATTGTGTTACAAGACTTCCTAAGATCTCAACCCTTCCTGGGTTGAAATTCCTACTTCACAGACAACGTGAGTCACTATGTTATCACTCACCTTGGAAACCTTGTCCTGGCCCCCTTCCTCCTCCAGGCCCTCCGGACATGCCATACGTGTCATACTGTTTTCTTTTGCTTTCATCTCCTAACACCTAGAATATCAAAATAAAACCTCAAATAACTGGTTGTCCAAATTACATGTAATTCTATGTATTCTGCATAATAAGATCTTAAAAGGAATAGAGACTGAAGCTTTACAAAAATTTGGAGAATATAAAATTACATGAAGACAGATTTGTTAACAGAGGCAAAATATCTAAATGTGTGCGTGCACGTACAGGTGCATGGGTGGGGGGGGGGGAGGAAGAGAGGGAAAGGGAGAGAGACATGGGGTAAGAGAGAGAGAAGGAGAGAGCGATTAGCTTTTAAGAACATCTGTGAATAATGCACTTTTACACTGCATTGATTATTTGCAAAAGCAGTTTTTTAAATCTCATTCAGAGCCCTCGTTATACCATACACTTGTGTGTGGGTATTTGAGTACGGGCACACCTGTATTTAACTACTTCACATACTATCATTTGAATCTTACCTCATATGCCTCAGCGACCTCCTGGAACTTCTTGGCAGAACTCTTGTCCCCTTTGTTAGTGTCAGGGTGGTACTTCTTGGCAAGCTAAAACAGGCGAGTAATTTTATAAAAACAGAAATTATAAACCTGAATTGAAAAGCAAGTTTTTAGATAGCTTCTTTAAACAATCACAGTGTTCTATGTACCTCTACCACTCAGGCGACTTATTATCTTAAGTCCACACCATAGCATCAATACGTCTATTATAAGTTGTTCATTTTACATGTAAATCTGCTTTGAAAAACTTTTACTAGTGAGAGAATACAATCTTAGCACATCCAGAGCTTCCACAGATTCAGGGTGATTTTGAGAGTTGAACCACAGATATCTAATAATATCAATAGTTCTATCAGTGATTGCGAAAGCCGTCGGACCATGGCCATATGCCGGCAAAAGTTCTGTGGGCTGGAAAACCCTTTTAACTCATCGGCCCACATGTCCGACGGACTAAAGTCAGTTTCTTTAACAGACACCTCGCCTCATATTTGAATTTATCGTAAAGCTCTACATCTGTAAGTACGCACTATTCGCATGTAAAACTTTAACTTGCGCCATACTGGCGCGTTTTGTAATAAAGGTCTACGTACATTATGATGTCGTGAGGGCTGACATGTGACCCGTTTCACAAAAAATTTATCGAAACTGAAACAACTACAGGTCAATGAAAACGTACTGCTCAAGACTCTGAAAACAGGCCGCTCAAACTGCTTACGACTGGCCACGCGCAGACCTCTGAGAACACCTAACTACACGTGCTGGGTAAACAAGTATGGCTTCCGTCGGACTGCATGTTGAGTAAACGATAAGTGAAATATTCATTTGCTTTTTAGATGGGGGCTCTTAACTAATTTTAACGGATATTTTAAGTCAAATTGCGCCTTTAGCGGTGCTATATGTCAAAATGAGGGACAACATCATTTTCCATGCGGAAAATCCGCAATGGCACAGTCAGGGTGCAAAACTGTCCATTACAGTATATTCATCTAAACTTTAGTCTTAGATATTGAATAAAAATTCTTTTCAGACTCTGGCCCGTAGCCAGGGATGGTTCAGGGGTTTCGAAAGAACCGCCTCTTATGCTGACAAAAGGTCCACTCTTGGTAAAATTTGATCTAGGTACATGGCGTTTTTATGGAAAAAGACCCTCCCCCCCCTTTTTAAATTGCTGGCTACGGGCCTGCTATGAGAGCAATAGCTTTATTTTACAATAAAAATGGGATTTGTCTACCTTTTCCATGTAGTGCAATTATTTGGCATAGTGCAATTATCAATTCTGAAGATTTTTCCATTAAGTACTG